AAAAGAAAGCTTCGCGAAAGAAAGAAAGAAAATTAGAATATACAATATTGTCTTTTTTTAATTTGAAAAACAGTTTTATAGATCAATTAAAGATATATGTATCGAAGAAGATTTAAATTAATAATAACTTTAGTAACTTTTAGATCGAACATCTAGGGGGAAAAGATTAAAACAAAACTCATGTATATATCAATTATTTCACTAAGCATTTCAATGATTTAAGAAATAGAAAATGATATAAAAATTCAATATCAATCAGTTATCTCTAAGGTAATAACATATTATAAATTATTGAGAAAAATAAACATAGGAGACATCTAATAATTTATCAGAGTATTAAGAAACTTGCAACAAAGGTAGAAAGGAAGAAATAAAATATCCTTTAATAGCAGTAGGAAGAAATTTTTTATCTAAATAACAAATTTTTGCCATTTTGATAATGTAATCTTAAAAAGTCTAAAAAACTGCTAAGTTCTCATTCCAAACATTTTTTTTCGTGTAATTTTAAAGATATATGATACTCGAATATATAGTTCCATTTAAAAAATTGTCGACTACCTTAAAATTTCGACTTAAATGACCTCGAAAAAAAATGATGCCTTCCTGTTGTATTCACCTCATGAAACTGTGCAACTGTTTCCTTACACTTTTTTTATATCATCAGAAATAACAGAGATATTACGTATGCTCAAGATAAAAGAAATACCCTGTATATGGAATATTATTACCCTGAAGAACCGAAGTGTAACCGATAAAAAAAAATAGTTTACAACATTTCTTGAAGTTTCATAAATAAACGCATAATGTTTAAAAAAGATCAAAAATTTTGGGTTAAATGCCCTTTGCTAGTTATAATACAAAATACTTATTGCTATTAAAAATTCACTACACGATTTGGAAATAGCTACAACCTGTAATGACATGAAATTATATTTATGATAATCGATGATAATTTGCAATTAAATCTTTAAAAAGTGTTACAAGAAAAGCACTAGGTGTGTGAATATTTATGAAATACGGAACATTGATCTCATTTGATATCGACCATTCTTATTGCATAATACATACATTCCATTGTTAGGTATTTTAAGGTACAAAATTGTAATATTTATTATAATTTTAACTAGACCAATTATTCTAAAATATGTGATGTTTTAACTAAAATTTAAATTTAAATAAATGAGGAATTTATAAATATGTAATTTTTTCAATTTAGAATTAATTGATTTTCAGTATAAATTAAAAAAATGTTTTGAAAAAAAGAGATTTAAAAAAATAAGATTTTGGAAAGGAATTAAAATATTATTCTCATCTAAAGAGTATTTCGCTACTTTCACCCGTTTCGCGTTACCCTATTTTCACCTATATGCCATCAACAGTATACTTTTATTCCAGTACGTTAGAATGTAAATTTATAATATTTAAATAGATGCCATTTTCACAATTTCCAGTTCTTTATCAAATTTTTATCAATAAATTTAAAACGATTGAAGAATCAAACTGTCGATCCATCAAAAAATATTCAATTTATATTTAATTTTTGACATAAACACTAAATACATATAATATATAAAGTAAAACTACCAAAGTAATTCATTAACAATTATAGCTTAACAAAAGTGATTCTCCATTTCATAGAATCTACAAAATAACGCTAACATTGAGCTACCTTACCCTGCATTGTAAACTATACTCATCTTACAGACAACAATTTAATATAATGTTCACTTTAAAAGATAATCAAAATGACAATGGAAGTATATTAAAGCCATTGCAATAACTAAAGAACATAGAGCACTTTAGCAAATTGTAAATCTTCTTAATATCGCTAATAAATCAGACAAGTAGTTAATGTAACATTAAATAATAGAAATAAAGAACAAAAAAGTATTCATCAAATTTGATTTTGCTGTTGGTATAGTAAACTAACAAAGTATAAAAAGATTCACCGTTGTAAAAAATCTATAACTGTCTATAACTACATAAAAATTTTTATTCCGTTACGTTGAGAATAGTCGATCATAAAGTCTGATACTTAAATCGTCTTTCCCCTCCTAACCTAGATTCTAGCAACCGCTCGTAAAGTGCGATCATTTCTTATTTTTCTTTAATATTGATCGTTCCTCTTTGTTGCTTCACACGAGTAACTAGTAAAACTAGATTTGAACAACTATGTACAATAATATCCTCAGTATTCAAATTCGTTACACATGTTATAATATATTATTATATTATATACATATGTAATGTATCTTCAAATGTATGAATGCGTAAGAGATGTTTATAAATATATAAATTTCATTTATTTAAATTTCAGCGCTTTAATTTATTTCGTCTTTTTATAGTAATAAGTGTTGTACTGTACAATTTATTGATATACGAAGTGCAAATTAATTTCATATTGATTAAATCGTTATAAAAATTATTATTGATTATGTAGTATGTGATTTTGGTGTTATACAATGTATATATGAATTTGATTTCACTACCCGAGACGCTTTTTCCTTAATTTGAAATACCAGTGAAAAGAATTTTCTTTACTTTAATGTAATTCTTAGAACCAATTTAGTATAATATAGTATTATATAAAAAATAGTATATTAAAAATTATTTAAATAAATAATAAAAATGTTAACATCTACAAAAAAATTATTTTTTTTTTATATTTACGGCATATGACAGATTTATGAATATGTAAAATATATTTGATAATAGAAATAATAACAATAGGTGTAAAATTAAAGTATAAATTAAAAGTATTAAATATCTATAAGTGCATTAATACATATAATTTAACTGAAATATATCAATATATTTTAATAACTATAATCAAAAATAAATAATTAAAAATTGGTTCCAATAATTTTTATTTCAAATTTTTTTATAAGCGTATAAAATACTTTTATAAAATTTTTAATAATTTTATAAAAATAGTTTTATAAAAGTGTATAAAATTATAATACATCAAAACAAATATATACAAATAGATAATAATATATAAAAATAGATTAAATTTTACGAATTTCTTTTAATACGCTAATAACATTTTTAATTTTTTTATATGTATAATTTTAATATTTATATTGAACATATACCAAGCATTTAAACAATATATATATTAACAAAAAAGAAAAAATATATATATGAACTGTACTGAGAATATAATGCACTATTATGTTAGGACACTTAATTACAGTAAATGTTTAATTGTAGATTTTCATCTTAAAAATAAAATTCCATTTAAAAACATCAAAATGAGTTTATACAAATGAATAACTATTTTAATACTGATTTTTAATAATTTAAAATTATTTTACATATCTTTTTTTTACAACATATAAAATATAATATGTAAATATATATAAATAACTAATATTCCTTAGTCATAATAATAATTTAAAATATTAAATTAATATTGAATATTTATAAACAACTTACTTTTTACACACTTTGTATGTATATTATACAATAACTTAAAAAAAAATATATGTTTAATATTTTTAATATGTTTAATATTTTTTAAATAATTATTGTATTCAATTTGTGTAATATTATTCCTAAAAAAAAAATCACAATTGTAAAAGAAAATTTTTTATTGATCATGTAGTAGCCATAATCTTAAAACAAATATAATTATTAGTATTAAAACATTATAAAAAGATTTTATAATAATTTTATTGCACTACATTTAAAATTGATAATTACGAAAATATATGCAACAATATATATTCCTAGCCTAGATTAAATATATATAGTACCAATTATCATCATAATACAAAATGAAAAGTGTACTTCTAAAATTTTTAAATAAAATTATTTTATTATTTTTTATCTATTCTGTGTGAGTATCTATTATTCTTCATATATCAATTTGTTTTAGTTAACCTATAAAACAATTTACTTCAGCTTTTTAAGTACGTATTTATATATATACAATATGTAAATATAAAATATGTATATTTCTTACATATCTATATATATAAATACCATGCCACACAAGTCGCTGATTAATATTTTATTTTATGGTAATTGCAATTGTAAAATCAATGAATAGCAATATTTTGCACTAACTATATCTCTACCCGTTACGGGAAAAATATTTTTAACATTTGTATTTGTACACAATAATTATATCATAATGTTCCTATAAAAAGAAATAGAAGAACTTAAAAAATAATTAAAAAACAAATCTGTACAGATGCATCCTACGTTATCTATGCAAGTTTATTTACTATACATGTTAATATATATTACGATATTCTTTGATTTAATATGTGTAGTTATACATTTGCGAGTACACTGTGTATATAAAACATTCGAGAATTATTATAAATATAAAAAAGTACAATATATATATTGTTTCAAAGAAAAATAATAATAGATTTGATTTACTTAATTGTACTAATATGTATGTAGAGATATTTCATAGTTTATAAAGTTAATACTTATGAAATTTTTAACTGAATATTATACATCGTTTCTTTTCTAATTTTCACTTAAATTGTTTATTATGTGTATTTAAAAAAGCAACAAAGTGAAAATATAACGTATAAAAAAAATTTAGTTCTTGATAGAAAATTTGCGTCACATTTCAATAACGTCACTCGTGATTAGAGTAAACGCGTATAAGATAGTTGGTATGACACATAACCTAGAAATATTTAACTTTCAAAACGACTTGTGGAAAACGTTTTGTTGTGATTATTATGTAAAATATTAGTGAGAAACTACAAACACTATAAGTACTATTTTAATTTTTGCAATTTAATATTTATTTCCGAATTTTTCTTATCCATTTTAAAAAAACATGATGATTTATTTCATAACTTTCTGCATTTACAAGAAAACTCATGTACAATTTAAATCAGCATGTGTGTAATTCTGCATTTCCAGAAAATACGTTTTTAACAGAATAATTGTGAACATTGTAAATATATAAACAAATATATTCTTATTTTCGTCAAAATTTAAGTTTAATGTTTGTATTAAGTGATAACCTTGGGAAGTTTGAGACAAAGATTTAGTTAAAAAAAACTGAATGATTGGAATAAATATACTGTTTAAGAGGTAACTTAAGGAGAAATATTTTATTAATAAAATTATTAGTTGATAGTTAATAATTAATTTCATAAATTTATAGGATATTTTTACGAAATAATGATTATTATCCAAATACAATTATTTTTAATAGCAAGTACTAAAGGTAATTTTAAAATATATAAGGAAAAATAGAAAAACATTTTTTCAATGCCATGTGAAGAGCTGCTTCGTTATTTAAAGTTAGTATATTTATTTATGCTATAAATTAATTTATTTAATTATGTTATATATTGTATATATTTTTAAATTTCAATAATTAGATAATCATGGACGAAAGGAGGGTAGCAGATTACTTTGTTATTGCTGGTTTGCCTGGGCAAGACAATGATTTTGATACTGATAATGAAAATGATAAGTTAGAAGACTGGTATCAAGAAGGAACGCATGTAAAAGATATGAATGTGAAACCTCCTATTACTGATCTTGCTATTATATTTCCGGCATTGGGTGAAAAATGTCCAGAAGGGTATGATTTGTTAGAACATACTGTTTCAGGCTTAGTTGCTGATTTAAATCATGGAAGTTTAAGAACAAATGAATGTTACTTATGTTATCGACGAGGACGTGATAAACCACCATTAGTTGATATAGGTAAGATAAAAATTTAAAAATATCACTTAAAATATTGAAATTCCTTATTACAGTTATATTATGTGTTAATGTTAAATATTGAATGAAAATAAAAAAAATGGTTTAATGATTAAAATTAAAAATTCTTATTAATTTTTAAGTTTTAACTTTGTTCAAAAAGTTTTTCATTTGTAAATGATAAAATTTTGTGGTTTAATTTTTGGTATATATTATATAAATATAATAAAAAAATCTCTTTATTATTTAACTTGTACAAAAATAATCTTAGATAATTTAAGATCAATCAGGTTGATCCTAATTTACTAGTAGACTGCAGATAGTTATATAAATGTACATTTTTATATATAATACATAAGGTAGTAGGACTAACGTAAAAATTTATTTTATTATTGAAAGATTTTAAACGTATAGCTTTCACTATGCATATCTTGTATATTTTATTATGCAAAATATAAATTTCTCATTTGATAAAAATTCAAATATTATAGAAAACCATAAAAAAGTAAAAATTATCAGACTTATCAATTAATATAATTACTGTCATTACCAAACATTTTTAAGTTATATCCCTAACTGTGGACAGAAAGTTATGTCCAAATTTGAGACATTAGTATTGCAACAGAGATTAATAAATACTATTGATGTAAATTATAGTTCTTTTTTATAATGCCATGTAGTGTAGAACAATCTCTTTTAATATGTAAATTAATTTTAGTGTATAAGAGACATTATCAAGAATATTATGGCATATTGTTATTTAAATTACAACAAATAAAATTGTTAATATTTTGTAGATGCACACATAACATATACGTGCATAAATATCTGCAGCCTACTTATCAATATTATTTCTGATATAAAAAGATCAAATCTTTCATATTGTCTTGTAACAAAATTTAATATGTTAAGTTCTCAATTATTAATGTTTGAATTTACACCTATATATCTTATTTTTTATTTATATTATACTCTATTATTTCATGTTTTATATGGTAGCATAAGTATATCAATTTTATTAATTATATAATGATGTTTTGTAATCTTTATATTTAAAATACTAGTAACTTAAAGAAGATGACTACTATGCTATTGTAATATGTGAAAAAGCTAGTTGATTCTATCACTTTAATTTATGTTATAAAATTAGTGTAAAAACTGTATAAAAAGAATGTGCAATATTTATGATATGTACATAGGACAAATTACTAAACAAAGCTTATTAAAAATTTTTATACAGAGCAAATAAAAAACAAAGTATTATAATAAAATATTTAAAAAGCAAACATTCTATTTATCTATTTTTAAAATATAGTTTTTGATTAATTAAGTAAAATCTTTTTATTATATAAAATACAATACAAGCAATAATATTTTTTTATAATCGCTTATTAGAGTTCAGAAAATTTTTGTGAATTTAGACATTTTTTTTAATAATAAATTTAAAGTGTTTATAATATATAAGGGCTTTTACATAATGTATAAAAAGCAATTTGATGTAATCATTAAGTCAGGTATTATAGTTCTTCCACCTTCCAGTTTTGCATCTTTAAGCTCTTTTTGGAAAATTATACAAGACAAAGTTTATTTTACTCGTGTTGAAACCCAAGGGCATATATAGCGTGATTAAATAAAGAATAAGTTTGAAATCCTAGGAGATATATTCATTCATTGTAAGTAATTATGGTATATGGTAACTCATTGAAAATAGGTCATTTTAATAGTTACATGAGGTTGACCTTGTGAAAACAGTGTATTTAATGAAACCTAGAAGAAAAGGATGTTGGATTAGTAAATTCTTGTTAATATATTTTTTGTATCGATACTTGAATAGAAAATATCAATGGAACTAATTTCAAGTAGACATTATTCAGTATGTCAGTATTTATGCTTGACTATACTTTTACAATTGTTTTAATTACATATCATACATAAAAATTATATACTACTCTCTCATTTTTATAGCTTTAAATATTTTTATTATTTAATTATTTATGTGACTATTTATCTTCAGTAATATTTAAAAATTTGTATTCTTATTTTTTATGTATTCCATTACTGAAAAATGTTTTAAGAATATTTTTTGAAGATACAATGTCAATATCTCAAAAACTAGAAAAAATTCTGGAACCAGTAAATTAAGATACACAGCACATACTGACAATTTTATAAATTTTTTCCATTTTGTTAAAATAAGATATTAAAATTCTTTTGTTAAATTTTAATTTTGTAAGGATAAGCATTTCATAATATTAATATATATTTGTTTTAATTCCTTATATGATAATTAAACTTATATTCTGTAAAACAAATTTGAACTTTTATAAAATGTGTTAGAAAAAAGAGAATGTGTTAGAAAAATATAAAGTGTGCCTTAAGTAATTAATAATATTTGAAATTATAAACTGAGAGTATATGTAATTTATATGTATGAAATATTAATACAATTAAAAAAATACGTTTAAAAATTGTTTATTATTCTTGTTGATGTTTATATAGCAGTTACTAGAACTAGATCAAAATCTTTGTTATTTGTATTGTAAACATAATATTTCAAACTTCATACAAAAAAAATATTGCATGTTCTTGCTTTTTATATCATTTTAGAGTAGTATATAGCATAGAAATTAGATTGATATGAATATATATAATGAAATAAGTTATTTTAAACAAAAATCAGTATCATTGTTTATATAAGTCATCATTTATTCATATAAAACATCATTTTAATTCAATACATATATTTAAATGTATCACAATTTAAGAAACAAAAAAATAAAAAATATACATTTTTTAATTTGAGTATATCAATTATATCATAAGTAACATATTTTCAGTGTGAATGTTAGGAATGTTATTTGAAATTACATATTTATATAATAAATATTACAGTTGCAAATTGAAATTATGCAATTATTATGTTGTTAATTTGATAAGTCTTTTTGTAATATTTTAGCTACATTGTTTTAGTAATATAGTTTAAATAGATACATATTGCAAATTTTATAATTATTTAAAATTAAATTAACTATTGTTTATCGAATGTGATTGTTATGAAGTACTTATTACAGGTGTAATATATGATGGTAAAGAACGTATAATGCCAGATGCTGAAATGATATTAGAAACTCCGAAAGGACATTTAGCTAATGTGAATAATTCTACAGCAAGAATATTTGTGACATATAGACGTGCAAGTCGTAAAATGCAATGCAATTCATTAGTCGTGACTGACATTTGTGTAATATTGACAAATAAAGGAGAGACACCCCCACATGCATTCTGTATTATCAATAAAAATTTAAACAAAGGCATGTTGGGTAGTGATGTATATCTGTGCTATAAGAAATCTATGAATCGAGCAAATCTGATATCATTTAAACCTGCAATATTGTATAAATATCCAATAGTTGATTACAGCAATTTTATCTTCCCAAATTCAGTGGCAATGTTTTGCTTACCAATGGGAGCAACAATAGAATGTTGGCCCAAAGTGGCATGTAAACCTAAGCCAGTATTTTCCACATTTGTTTTAACAGTAGCTGATGCAGCTCAAAAGATATATGGATCAGCAATAACATTTTATGAAGAACTTGAATTAGAAATGGATAGTCCAAATTTTAAAGAAAATCAACAACCAGCTGATGTACTCATGGAGAATATGAAAAATTCTGGTATGAAAAAAGTTGTATATTCACATATATGTTTATGTATGCAGTATTTTTACTCAATCATTTTTTTGCTTCTCCTTTTTCACTTAATATATTTAAGTAAACTAGTAGAAAGTAAAGTACTAATAAGTAATTATTTAATGTAAAAATTTAATTCTATTTATATTAAAATTAGGAATTAATCTTCATTTTAGATATCTTAGATAAAATTTACATTATTAAATTTATGTAAATAAGAATTATTAATATTTTAAATAAATATATATTAGATATTGAGAATATACTAATTTGTTGAATAATTTTTGTTATGATTAAAAAAATTCAGTAAATTTATATATTTAATAGCAAATTGATATATTTTATTAAATATCATGAATCAATTCATAAACACTTGGACTTTATAGAAAATGCAATCTTCACTTAGTATAGATTTGGTTAAAATTTATAATTCTATGCATACTCATAAATTGAATTCATTTGCTTCTTACTATTTATAGAATTGATATATACAATTTTATTATTTAATTTTATTACAAAACTAAAAAAGTAAATATTTACAGTATATCTTACTTAATGATATTTTATTAGTAAAGAAATTTCATTAAATGATATTAACAGTATTTAAGGAGAAGCAATATTTACTTTAAGGACAAAACTTAGTGAAACATATGTTGCATGACACTAAAGTAATAATTATATGAACATTTGTTTTTAACAATAATGAAGATACTTTGAAACATTAAAAATCATTTTTATTAATTATTTCCTGATTCCTGCTTTTAAGATGGATAAAATGCTTTATAATATAGTGTTGTGTGTGATCATTTAAGATCATGAAATGTGAAATAAGATGAAAATAATTTTTACTAATTATTAGGAACTTATTGAATTTGACATTATTTACATTAAAAATTAAATATATTCGTTTTTATAATATATCAAAATTTTATAATATATGAATTTAATTACTGATTTACCATAATTGTACTTCTTAATGTTATAGAACCATCTAAAACAGGATACTTATAATTGTTCCTGTGTCATGCTCTACAAAGTTTTGTTCTTCTATTCATAATTTTAGAGATGATGATTAAATGTGATAGTAATGTCTCTCTTGTATAGTGTAAATCGTATTAAATATTACAAACGCCTTTTTCCTAAAACAATGTTAATGACAGTATTTCTTTTCAACATTTAACCGTTCATACACATTTTTCATAAAACAAAAAATTATCTCAATTAACTTTTTTCTCAGCATAATAAAGGTTTCATTCTCTATCTTTTGTGTCAAAAATGTTTAAAACATACAAAGTCATAATAATTTATCTTTCTTTCTCATATTAAATTTTTTAACATTAAGATTTTACTTTTTGTTTTTTTGGTTTTTATGTATTTTTTTTATTTATATACTTTTGTTTCTCAAATATACATTTTTTTCAATGAATATTTCTTAAATTTACAATTGCAGTACGTTTTTATTTCATTATTGTTATCACAAATTAAAAAATGCGTAAGAAGAAATAAATATTAAACGTGTTTGATAAATTGCAGTGACATGAATTTTAGTAAGTACACAATGAATGACTTTAATATCATACATATAAAAGCTTCATTACTTATCTTGTACATGAAAGTAAAGCGGAAAAATAGAATAATGTTGATTAACGCTATATGAGATTTTTACAGTAATTGAGAATTAACATTAAGCATCGTTTTTGTATAAATAAATTGTTTTGAATACATCGATTAACATTGAAAACTCATTAAGTATGGACATTTACGCGTGATTGTATCTACGTTTTGGCACAGTAGATATCGTTATAAATTACGTGTTTGTATCTGTTGTAACATTAAATAATGGAGATTGAACAATAAAATCGAAATTGTTTATACTCAAAATTAATCCTAAAATAACTTTTATATTTCTATTATTATAATTATGTCCTGTATATCTTGTATATCTGTGAATACATCTCAAAGTCTACCGTATTAAATATTTTAGGAAAACTGTAAGTAATCGATATCTTTGTTAAATTAGTTCCAGAAACATAATAGCTTAACCATCGTGTTCTTCGAACTTGACACCGATGGATCTTATACTTAGAATCGCGTTGAGTTCTTTGTGTACAACGTGAATACTACAAATTGAATATAGTTCAAGCGCAAAATTATTCTTATAGTCGAGCATTTGAAAATATAAAATATTCCCAAATATGTAGTATGCACAGCACATTTTGTTACCACAGAAGTACATCATATCTCATATGTGCATTAATAGGAAATTATTTTTAAGCATGAAATATTTGAATATCTATAACGCTTCATTATCTAATAACAAACAAACAGCAAAATATAATAACAAATTATTACTGATATGTATATCAGCTGCACATATTTAATGAATTCTAAATATCGATTTATTCAAAAACGAAGTTTTAAGCGAAGAAATGTTATTGTATATTTCCGTCTTAGTTCGTCATGTAGAATTATTTTGTCACAAGTTCTGTTACCAGTTCGATAACACCATACGTACAATTTTTAATTATATGCTTTTTTGTCGCAATGCGGTTTTGATCATAACATACAAAAATATGTTTTGTTGTATATTCTTACATTGTTGTGTGTTCTAACATTGACATATACTATAATAGTGTGCATTTTATGTACCTGATTTATAATATTTATTATAAAGTACGTTTTAATTAAAATAATATTCGATCTGAATAATATTGAGACACTTTAAAACGTAGATAATTACGTATAGAAGTTAATATTTTATCTTGCAACTTAATGCAAACATAAGGTATATCTAAAAATACGATAGTTCGTGTATGCAATATTAGGTTCTAAAAGATTAGTCATATTTCAATAGTTATTGTATTTATTTTTGACGAAAGGATCCAAAAGTAATTGCATATTTAGTATAAGGAATAATACAATGGAAAATGTTATTAAATTTTTTTTAATGAAATATAAAGATATGAAAAATAAATAGGGTCTATATTTTAAAATATTATATATATGAGAAAATCAAATAGTATAAGAAATAAATTAAAGAAAAACTTCACATTAAAAATATTAAAATTAACTGCCAAATTAATAGATTTTTTATTAATATTAAGTTATTAAGTTACTGAACTTAATCAAAATAATTCGGTCTAAAAGTGTACGTCTAAACATACGTTTATAAACGTACATAATACATAAAAGTGGTAAACTTATACAGGATAGGTAAATAAGATTACTGCTTTAGACACCTCAGGTACAATAAAAATAAGAAGTTTTTTGAATAAAAGTTGTTCGGTATAAGATAGGATCGAATGGTTATAACGACTATTTGTAACTCGAATCTCTAAAGGATTGTGAAGAATATTTCATTTTCACTTTAATAATAAATCATATTTTCTTATTTGTTTGTTCATAGCAGCTGAGTATAAATACCTATAATTAATCATAATTAATCATTAATAATTAATCATAATCGTGTTATTGCAAAGTCGATTATAAGAGAAGCATCAGTTCGGAAATTTTTTAAAGTATTTTAAAATTAATTTTTTAAATATAAAGAAACGTATCAAATTTGCACGCGAGGATTTTGATAAAATTCCTGTAAAAAATAATTTTCTAAAAAATATTAAATGTAGTAAAACTAAAAAATTGAAGACATTTGGATTATCTTGGAATTTTAATAGCGAAGGACACATTTTTTGTTTTAAATCTCATATTATTCAGTGAGAAATTAGATTAAATAAATAATTTTTAAAAGTTATTTATTTACAATATATAAATATATTAAAAATTTGAATACTTTTAATTTTTTTCTTTTTTTTTCTCTCCTTAAACTAACTTTAAATATGGGAATTTTCGATTGAAATAGAAAATACAAGTTTTTATAATGTTTTACTATGTAACAACAATTATGAGATATATAATGTTCTTCCAGTTCATACTGAAAGCATTATTCAAACAGAGTCATGAGGGTACCATAAATTTTTACATTATTTTAATTATACTGTGTTATGCGTCGTTAATTCTCTCTTTAGTAACCATGCCACAAGTAAAAATACTATGCAATACTAATCATTATTACACGAAATATAGAAAGTTTCTGTGGCTCACATTGCATTCTTCTGATTCATGATCATGAAACATTTAGCCAGAATGTAATTGAATAAGGACTAAATTAGTGTTTTTCTTTTACTCAACTTAATAAAAATAATTTAGTATTTTATTAATTAATTAAAATAATAATTTACGGAATTTACTTAGAATGTAATTAATTTACATAATTTTAAATATATTTAAATATACTCTCTGAGTTTACAGGAGTAAATTAAAATACAAATAATTCAGTTAAATAATCAATTAGGAAAAATATTAATAAATATATATATTGTTGGAATGAAATATTACAATAATAATTATGTAAAAGAAAACAATACAAAAATACTTTGATTAACATTTATTATATTTATTTTATTTATTATTTTTTCATTTAAATGTCATGTTTATTGATAGGTTTTGCAATTGTACATTCAAGTAATTTACATATATGTGTTTGTACATACGTAAATGTGTTCTCTTCATTTGTTGTTATAAATTTAGAAATTAGTTAAATTAATATTACATACATCGTCATGAAGAAATTACCAGAACTACTATGTATTTAAAGCAAGAAACACTTTCAATACAACAATTCAATAACTTAGAGATACCGATACTAAAAAACACTAATTTACAATTCTTATTCAATTATATTTTAGTTAAATGTTTTACGATCGTGAATCAGAAAAATGTAACGTGAATATAGAAACTTACTATATTTTGTATAATAACGATTAATATCTGTGTCATTTGTAATAGTAATAGTATTAGTATATAGTAGTAATATTAGTACTTGTGTTATTTATTATACATCATATATCAAAATTGATGACGCCCTCATGACTTTGAATAACGCTTTTAATAATTTTAGTACACACTGGAAGAAAATTTGGTTACAA